TGCGTTTTCTGCTCTGAGAAGGCAGGCGATACTGAGTCCCGGTGCTCAACAAGCTGTACACCTGACCGTTATTCTCCCACTCAATGCGCTGTCTCCAGGGTCCGGCAGGCGCGCGTAAAAGGTGCTGACCGATACTTAAACGCACAAGCACGTCAGTAAGGCAAATTAAAAGAAACCAGAACTTCTCCATGGCTTAGAGAACTATAGGAAGCTCCTAAAACTGAGACTGTGTGAGAATATTTATGTTAGACTGGGTGGAGAGGTTTCATACTCACTGGACCTCATGACGCACAGCATCCCTAGCAGGAGGGTAGGGCTTAGGGAGGTCTCACCCATGAGGGCGTTTAAAATATTCTGTTTTATTTCTGCTTCTTCTGCGATAATGTGACATAAAATTAACCCCAAGTGGAATTTGCATGATTAAATATATTTGCACAGATACTTAGCTTTCATTTAATTGCTTTTTTTTTTATGTAACAATGGCAAAATTGAATGTGCGCTAATGATACAAGGCTTAATTAGAATCAAGGATGCAAATGCAGGCTCGAAGTAATGTGGTTAGTAAAAGGACTATATTAATATGCTATCAAAACAAGGTAGGGTAGCATCATACTGTCGGAATAATATAAAAATTAGAGATAACAAAAGACTTTAGACTGTGATGATGTCAGATTTGAACAAAACAACAAATTTAAACCTGCAGCTAGAATAACTACAATTGAATGATTTAGATTAACTGAAAAGGCAAGTTTTAAAGACGAGAATTAAAATTTGCAGTAGACTTATGCTTTTTTCAGATTTTGTTTAGTTGTAAAAACATTTGGTAAGTTTCATGTTCCTCCAAATCTAAAGGATTTGCAATCTTGTGTAAGTCCAGAACAGGGGTGTGCAACCTGCAGCTCCAGAGCCACAAGTGGCCCTTTGGTCCCTTAGGGTCTCAGGGGCTAAAAATGATAAAGAACACACAATTGTAGTATGACAACAAATACCAATCTTAAAAGCTTTTATGAGATTTTTTTTAAAGAATATCTAAATTGAATTTTCACAGCAGAATGACATCAAAACATGTTTTTTATAGATCTGTTTTTTCTTGTCAGCTTGAAAATAATGTGTTATGTTGTTATTTTCTAACTTTACATAACAGGAATATCCATGCTTCATCTTTATGAAACATTGTACAAATAAAGTGATAGTTGGTTAAAATAGCAAACGATTTCCTATGGCAGATATTTAACATAAAGGGTTTTATTTTATTAAAAGGTGGGTGTAATATTTGCGGCTCAATGCAACTAACTAAACCAAATTCAGAGCAAAAAGGGTCTTTGGATTTTAATAGTTGTAGACCCCTGTTCTAGAAGGTCGGGGCAATCCAGTTGTGTGAAAACATCATAAAAAGGTTATAATCATTAAAATAAAGTTCGTTTATAGAAAAACAGTTTAACCATTAAAGCCCAAATCTGCAATGTTTTCCTACTTGGAAGGATTTTTAAAATAATTTTTTTTCCCCCATTAGAAATCAATTGTGTCCATTGATTTCAGTTCAAGTTTCCATTTTCACCAGAAGGTGGCGCTGCAGACACACGAAAAGACTGCCAGTTGCTCTGCAATGCAGGTTGAGTTTTTGTTTTGTTTTTTTCAGTTTGGAAGACAGAGATAGGGTGCAATCAGTTCTCTTCAGCATTTCAAAGAACTTATCCTCCATTTATTACATAATTTTACATTTTATTTCATTTTTTATCTAAGTGCTTTTTAATTATTTTAATTACTTGTAAATTGATCCATTTCAACAGCTTGTAAGCTATTGTCTGTTTTTTGGCTTGGCTATTTTAATTTTACTCTTTCAATACAGCCCTTACGTTAAAGGTGCTTTATAAATAAAGGGTATGATATGGTATAATTAGGTCTCTCATCAGGTAATGGCTACTTTAAGGTCAGGATTATTTAAAGCCACGAGCTGACATCATGGACTATTAAGCAAGAGACACTCCAAACAAGTTCTCCCCATATGTCATACTGTTTACATTACAGACTTTACATGTGTACACTTCCTGTCTGTAGAACGCTAGAACAAAAACAAAAAATTTTTTAGCATTTAACAACTGTGCTGAGTAACTTAATCAATCCTGTTAGACACACTTTGAATGTTTTTTTCTCCAGAAAGTGTGTGCAGCATAAAACAAAAAGGATTTGATATCAGGATGCAATTCAACACAACACAAATACAACAAAAACACACTGATTGCTGAGCAGAAAAATTCACCACACTAAGTTTTAATAAAGCGTGTGCCTTCATAGTTTAAGTAAATGGTTCGTTTACATTTTACACGATTTAAAAAAAGTTTTGAAAGGTCCTAATATGGTAAACATGACTTTAGATAAACTAGGATTAATAATTTAATAACTTAGAAGAAAACCTCTTCTCAATATAAATATCTCCAAATAAGTATAAACCTGTGTATTATAAGTTTATTAACTGACTTCCCAAAGGTTAACTCTAATATAACTATTTAAAATAATTACTTCTTGTACTAACCTAAACACTAGCATGTGGATTTTAAAGATTTCTTTAACTTTGATAAACATCATTATAATTTTCTGTGTCCAAGATGAACATATCGGTTGCACAAACTCTGGGTCATTGATATTTACGGAAGCAGCATGGAGCAATAATTTAAAGGAACCGAATAGGATAGTTGCACAATTTTTTCATAAGAACAGCTCTGGTATAGATAAAAAAAAAACAACTACTGAAGTTTTCAACCTATCATACATAGCACCAAATTTTTGTGTCAAAAAATGTAAACACAGCAGTCTATTCCCTTATTACTATTACTTATAGATTCTGCTTCACAGTTATATGACGTAGGGGCTCCTATGCATGAGGAAAAGGTTTAAACTACCAGATTTTATTGCTGCCAGTTCCTGGTGATGTTGCTTTAATGAACGTGAGCCTAATTCCCCTTTGCCTTTGTTTTGTTTCATTCTGTCCTCAGTCACGCCAGCTGCTGGGACGTGCAGAGAGACAGGTAGCTTACACCCAGAGAGAACAGCAGAAAAAGAAAAACACAGAGAACACGCCCTGCAATTAGAGAAGTGAAGGCAGACTTTCTTCACTCTAACCAGCCCTGCTTTATATATATTCTGGCTATGACTCTATGAGCCAGTGGAAAAAACAGAAGGAAAGAATTGTGCCTGTGTGCAAGCCATGGGACATTAACGAGGTCCAGTTCAGGCTGTTAGGACTGATATTCATTTACATTTCCCTTATTACACAATAATTAACAGTTTGTAAATAATCCACATGCTAATCTGATTCTACATTACATTGCTCTTTAATCAAAAAGTTTAAAACCCTTTTTGGAAGAAAGAAAACCGGTCGGACATCCAGTGTTCCTCGCTGAGCATACAGCACGTTCTGCACATTTTTTCCACTGTGATATAGTGCCGTATAAACCGCCTCATGTGGTACTCTGTTCCAAAAAAGGCATGTGGCGCCCACAAAAACAGGAAACAGCACAACAGTGTTCTGCATGTGTAATTGAGGACACTGAGTACCAACATAAAAGCAGAAATTGCTGTCCTTGGAGTTGTGGTTCACTCTTGCGTAGACAGTGATAGGGCTTCTGTAATCTGCTATGATAAAGCTCAGATCAGCTCCTGTTTGTGCAGGAAAACTTCTGCACTCCTCACTTAGATGTTTGACACTGGGCTAAAATGTGGATGCAGGATTATTTCATCCCCTATGGTGGAGCGCACCTAAAAGAACACTATTATTTGATATACACCGATTTGTATTTTGTCCTTGCAGGGATTAAGTATGCTGCTGTTACTTTTAGCATAGAGAGTCTAGGCCAAATGGGTTTTGCATGCCTGCCCCTGCAAGGGTATTACAATAAGCACCTTGCTAACCAACATCCATATGACACCCACATGACAGATCACATACATCTACAGGTGACGTCAGAGTGACTGCTGCTGCACACAGCAGTCACAGTTGAGCAGAACATAAGACAATTTGAGATTTTATATTTACAGTAACCACTAAATCATACCATTCCAAATAAGTTTTACTTCCTGGATGGGAAGCGAAACTTCTTAAAACTTGGAAAACAAAGTCCAATGTTTTGTTTTACCTTTTTCGGATGGACTATGACCTGGATGACTGAGAATCAACTAAATCATACTATTCTGAAAAAAGTTAACAGCAAATCTGTGAACTTCCACCTACTATGAAGAGGTGGAGGCTTAAATTAAACCCCAACCTGACAGTCCTATATATAGAAATTGTTCTGATCCATTTATACACACAGAAGAGGAACACATGTTCTATCTGCACGTGATTGGAGAACCAAAGCTGCATTTGCTTTTGTGCTAATTGCATAAATCTTATGGGCACTATGACCTACTCTAGCATCTACGCGAGATGACTGAGGAGTTATTTCAGGGCTGTAAATCTGGAAACACCCACGAGGGCAGATGTACAGTACAAGTTTGAGTACTTCCTGCTTCTAAAAATAGACATAAGGGTCATAGCCCAGAAAAAACTTCACCTAGACTGCAACTAGTGATATCTAGGAAATGAAATTACCCATTAAATGATGGTGCAGGTTTTTCAGGATACAATTAGAATCCATACTAGCACAATAATTGTAGCCCTTATATAGGGTCTATCCCATTAACTGAAAATGTCTATTTTATTTGTATACATTATAATAACTATAGTGTGTCTGTATGCACCTTTTCCCACTTAATCAAAAGCAGTTTTATTAGATTTCTGTTTTAAATTGTTTCAGATCAAATCTTTAGATGCCAAACAAATTTAGCCCTTTGTGAAAAAGTAGCTGACACTTATTGACCGTCAAGTCAGAGTAATTTCTAATTTTCGCTTGATTAAAATAAATTAGTTTCAAAATCAGACCAGGAAACAGAGCTTGCATGGTAGACCATCACCAACCACTTGAGTCCTTTCTTAGACATACTTTACTCAGAAACCAGCCAAAGATGTTTTGATGAACTGTATTTTAACAGCAACTCATGTATTTATTGACAGCAGACACTCATGGAGACCAATAGTGGTCAACAAGATATCAAAAACAAACGGCAAACATTTCAATAAGAAAAACATGTTGTCCATGAAGGAGATAAAAACAACATAATTTAAAAACTGAACATTTCTATGTACAAGAAAATAAAATTACACCTTATAAAAAAAATCCTTGACTATTTACAGTCTGTACAGGTGTGAAGTGGAATCCTCCTGCTGCAAAATAAAGAAAAAAAAAAAAACATTAGAAAAAAATGTAGAAAAAGACTTTTTAATATTAAAGTAGCAATGAAATCCTACCCCCTTACCTATAAACGATTGAGCAGGTTGTTCTGAATATCCTCATACACCTGGTTGTAGATTTCCTCTCTGGAATTCAAACCATTCAGGTATTCTGCAACAAACATATTTAAACATTCAATTCCAAAAAAAAAGTTCAGATCACAAACTAGTTTAACAGTTCAATGAGATTTGGTTTAAAATCGCACCGATATTCAAACCGCTTTCCTCCATCTGCTTTCTGTGCTTCAGGTACATGGGCCACACGTGGCCGTCAAACAGGCCAGGAGGATCAGGGACCGTGTATTGCCTTGTACTAAAATAAAAATTATCAAGAAACATGGAGTGAGGAAGTGGTAACTAATATTGATATAGAACTTAGTAATGGCAGAAACGTAGCTTACCTTCTCCTTCTTTTGCACTCCTCGTAGGGGATTGAGATGTAGTAGCACTTACTGAAAACATCCAGCAGGGGCCTACAAGAAAGATGAACACATTTTGAACACCGTTCACATTACACACTGCATCTAAAAAAAGCAGTAAGAAAACGGTTCATGCTCTCGCTTATCTGCATCTCAGCAGCATATTAAACACTCATCACTAGTACATGGAGTGCCTTTCACTCTGGTGTCACTGCAAAGGACCACTTTGAAAGAGCCACCCCTCTGCAGAGGTACTTATCTCTAACTATCCAGCAAGCATGCAGGGGTCTACAAACATGGCCCAATGTGAACATGCAAAATCAGCACATGGCCCAACACATGTGTCTGCCTTTACTTGATTATTTGTGTTCCTGAGAACCAAGATTGCCCAATCACTGGCTTTCACCCCTACAAGTTGGCTGCCGCACACATGCTAAGAAAACACTTTTCATCCATAGCTGGATTCAAACTAATACACAAAGCAACAATCAACTTACGGGTAGTTATACAGCAGAAAGCCTTCAACTATCAGGATGTGGATCTGCTCATCAGGGTTGGCCACATCTGGAACAGGAGCCAGGGGTACACCGTGAGAACGGGCAAACTTTGCTGGGTTCTCAATCCAGGCTTTTATCGTGTTGGTCATGGCCTCCATGTCCATAGCTGTGATCACTGTGGAGCAAGAGACAGAAAGAAGGGAAATAATGGGAGAGGGGGGGAGGAGAAGGTCAGAAAACTCCCAAACAAAAGCTGTAATGATTTATGAATGTGTTTTCTGATTGGAAGTAACAGCAAATTCATGTTTTAGCTCTAATTGATGGAACTGAGGAGGATGGGGTCATCTACATTATAGTCAAATATGAGTCACTGGCAGTCTTCAGTGAAGTCTTACCATCCCACTGCCTAAAGCCGTCCTCCCCGACTTCTATTTGATCGGGTTTCTGAAATAACAGTGACCAATAAAACATTGCTGCAACCTCACAGCTCTGAACACTTGCAGATCTCACTCACATGCCACAAATGTTAGGCCAAACGAGTGAGGGGGGGAAAAATGGCAGAAGGAGAAGAACCACAGCAAATAGCATGCAATAAAACAAGCAAAGGCTAGTATGCAAATATAGCAAGGGGAAGACATAAATATGCTAAACAGGGATAGAGTTGCATAGAAATCAAGAAAAAGAACAGGATGCTAGAAAAGGAAAGACCTTCTTCACTCACATACAAAGCTCAGGCAGTACTAATGATTGAAAAAAGACACACCAAACTATTGTTATATCTTAATCTGTTCAGTGAGACTCACCTTGAAGAAGTCATCTTGGTGCACAACACAGCAGTTGGGCAAAGTCTGAATCAGTTTATTAGTCAGAGTGGTTTTACCACCATTGGTGACTCTGTAAAAAAAGAAAGAAAATTAAAAATCTTTTTTAAAAATGTTTAATTTATTGTTTAAACACCTTTGCTGTGTGTTAAAACCTCTGACAGAATAATCAGCAGGAGGGTGTCAGAGAAAAATAGGATAAAGCTCTGTAAAGAAAAATTAAATATCTAGAAAATATAAATAAAGCAATCACAACCGCAAGTTAGGTCTCCAGAGTCTATATAAAAATGTTTAATAATCAAGACAGAGTCATAATATGGAGACTGCAGATGAAATTGATAAATCTCCCTCCACTTTTAGGGCAAATCACGCGCTGATTTTTCAAAAGTCCCGCTCAATCCATGACAACAAATAAAACCGGAAGTTGCTTTAAAGGGCTTTCTGGCGGGCGGCTGATTAAAACACTCGCACATCCTGAACATATAAATCATAAAAGGTATAAAAACCTCGATTGGAGACTAATTGAATATGCAAACCATTTATTTTACAAACTATAAACAAATATATGTTGTTTTTTTAACGGTAAACAACTATGGGTTCTTTCTTTTTTGAAATAATCTTTTTCATTTTAATATAACACTAAGCGTTACATTTTCTACATGGGAAATATAGACAATATGTAGTGGCTACACACAAACACGTTATTTTTAACATTAAGCACACTTACCCGCCAATTCCTATTATGTACTTCATTATTTCTCCTTCTCTTGAAAGTCTCTTTACTTCGACTGAAATTAAAATTCAGGAACACTGAAGTCTGAAGCGATACTCCAACAAAAGTAAAGTTTTAAAACATTTAAACGTGTGGTCTTGTAGTCTTCTCTTCGCTCGCTGATGGGTGGGTGAAGCGTTTCAGTATATATCAAGCCTGACTGGCATTGCGTCACAGCTACGTAGAGACGCCGTGTTCTCGTGCTACAGAGTGCTCACATTTTTCCTTCGCGCTACGTGCCACTTCTCGCCAGCCAATCAGATTCCACACAAGCCCCTAGGACAGCCTATCGGAGTGCGAAGACTGCAAACCATTTAGATATGTTCCCCACACGGTCCGTACTCTTCCATTCAGCAGTTGATCCACCTCCAGAAGCCACAGCTGTGGAAAACTACCATTGATGGTGTCGAATGGATGCACTTTAATAACAGTTGTGTCATGTCGGGTGGGATGTCTGCTGATGTTCCACAGTTAAGCTCACATTACAGTAAATGGCAGTCAGCGAGACGAATTTGGCACTGATTTAAAAACTATATATATATATATACATATATATATATATATATATATATATATATATATATACATATATATATATATATATATATATATATATATATATATATATATATATATATATATATATATATATATATATATATATATATATATATATATATATATGTGTGTGTGTGTGTGTGTGTGTGTTCATTTCGGGCTTTAACATTTTCTTAAAACTGATCAAAATAAAATAAATAATGAAATGGTAATAAAAGTTTAGGATCATTTAATGAGTATGCAGGCTTAATGTTGTATGACCCATTTCTCATCTCACATGTGTATCTGGCACGTACAGAGCTTTTTTTGTTCAACAGTGAGATAAAAGAGAAAAAAAAATTAGGGTAAATGTCAATGGTTCAAATGAGAACTAGGACAACAAAATAAAGCCAGGTGATTGCTTTATTTTCTATAATATATATGCTTTGTTTCAAAGTAGTACTCTAATGTTGAGTGATATGCAAAATGGTAGTTGCTTTGATAGAAACCTAATTCTGTAACTTAGTACTGGACTTTTGATAAATGTCTGTATATTTTTAACTTCTAGGTTAATGTGAAAGATCATATGCTTACCAGTTCATATGGAAGAAGATTTTAAACTTTTAGCTTGTTCAAAATACATATTGCTTGAAAAATACATATTACCAAAGTCATTTGCTGAGACTGTTTTTCCCCCATAAATCGTTGTAATTGTTTCCATAACACTCTACAGTTTATAGTAGACACAAGACTTTTGAGGGAGGAATTTATTTGTTTGTCATATTTACAGCCAGCTTTGCACTATGAATAATAATAGCCTGAACAAAGATTTCACAGCAACAATGATACTATATACATGTTTATGTTGTGCTTTTACAGTGAACATTTATATTTTGGAAGGATTGTATTGATACATTATAAATAAAATAAATTTGCTATAAATCAAAACACTTCACTCTACATTCTGACATTGGTTTAAATTGCATTTAAGTTTAGCAATAGGCACTCAGTTCACTCATTAAACCAGCCTCTTTAGAAACAATGTAAAAAAAAAAATGGCACTCAAAAAAAAGAATGACAGAACCTTTTATTCAGAATACCCTACTTCAAATGAACAGAACTTAAATTAAAAATTTCAAACAGTTTTCTCTCCCTACTGCAGTGTAGAAACCTAATATATAAACACTACTTAAACAAGTTTTATTTTTTGTGACGATCCATATCCAGTAGTGCAAATCAACATCAGAAATACATGTTAACAGGCCTGTGGTTTCTATATCCCCTCTTTTTAAGAATCTTAAAATATAGAAAACTTAAAAAACTGATTTTAATCACCTCTTAACTAATATTTAAGGTAGTTAAAAAAATGTACAAAATTCAAGCTGCATAAATCCTATCTAAGATTAAATAGGGATAAGCAGCATTGAAACAAATGTTTTCCCCTCCAAACCATTGCAATTATATGGTACAGTTGCTAGCAGGGCCATAGGTGTGTAAAATTCAGCAACAAACCCTGAAAATTGCTGTTTAAAACATTTGCAAAGCAATGGGTCATTCCCAGGAGTTCCTTTAATTACATTGTGCTATTTCCTCGCTACTAACAACTGTTAATGGTATTATGATAAAGTGAAACAGCAGGGGCAACAGCTGGGACGTGACAGGCCATGTCAACATACAGAGCAGGGTTAACAGATGCTGAAACATGCCAAAACTTTATTAGAATTTCAGATAAGGAGTTTTCATTTCAGTCTGAAAATACAATGGACACGTTTTTTTCGGGAAAACAGTCCTTGTCTGACTGCACTGTGTAAAGAAGAAGGTTTGCTACAGAAGGGGTAAGGGTTATTTTGTAGAAAACTTGATTCAGGATTTTTTTATGACACTGAAAGAGCTCTAAATGCCACAGCATAACATGATTTTTTTTTTTTTATTTAACACAAACTTTGCTGTAATGTTTGGACATATATATCCCTTTTCTTTTTTATTGTGACATGTGCTGCAGTGTAAAAAACCACAATTCCGTACTTGTCTCATCAGAGACTCCCAGACTTCACTTTCTATCAAAGCACAAAATGAATGAAAAAGAATTTAAAAAAACAAAAGGCTTCAGGGTAGTTATCTATTTCAATTCACATGTCTCGTTCCAAGTGAAATTTCTAACTGTACAGGGTTAGTACTATTGTTTCTATGAAAAACATGCATCTGGTATGTAGTAATATAAACATTTCACCTAAGATTTGTCTGAAGTTTGCCCATAAAACAAATATCTACAATGCATTTGTTATATAGATATGTCTTCCTATGTGATTTTTCTAGATCAGAAAAATGCAAACATGTAGTTTATTATGAGTATAACGCAGGCACATCATAATACACAATAAAGTACAGATAGTAATTCACATAGCAACTGAGGCCAGAAAGAGAGGAGACTTACATAAATTAAGGTTAGTCTATTTGGACTTTTTTTTTAAAATGTCAGAAAGATTAAGACTGAGCTCGGAAAGGCCTTAGAGTTAAAGCAGCTATGAGGTAAGATGAAAGAGAGATGAAGGCATATTTTTTACTTTGCTATATCAGCATCTGAGCCAACAATTTCCTTAAAAGCAGTATGTGCTTTTGTGCAAGGAGTTTGATTTAGTGGTGCCCGCACAGGAAACTCGCTGCATCTCAGAGACTCATATTTTACAACACAAGTCATCGAACCACTTTTCATTTTAAGCTATGATAAAAAATAACATTTTCAACTACTATGATTAATTCTGTGACATTAAATCAGCCATGATTGTAACCTTGGTCTCCCAGTCATGTAAGACCAGATGTTACATGACTGGGAAAAGTAAAGCAATGAATCAAATCCCTAATCATGGTGCAACAATTTAATATGAACCACATATCCGATCCTACAACAGGTGATGTCGACTTCTATTAAAAAAACAATTCCTTCAACAGAGCAGCCTTTTCCTGTTGGGAGACCATTCCATTGCTGATGGCGTGAGTGTTATGTGACAGAGCAGTCCCCTTTTTAACTGCGAATCAGAATCAGAATCAGAATCAGAATCAAGTTTATTGCCAAGTAGGTTTGCACTTACAAGGAATTTGACTTGGTGTTGTTGGTGCAGACATTTTTTTTTTTTTTTTTTTTTCAGGAAACTGAAAAGTGCGCACCAACACACCGTGGCTGCCATCTGCGGCGCCAGCGCAATAATCGAAGCAATATGAACTAGCAGCTGGATGTGGACAAAAGAGGGGAGAAAGTGTTCACGGGCTGGATGCCTCTATGTCACCCCCTGCATACACAAAGACAAATGCAGGGAAGTAAAACTGATTTTTCCAGACATTTGCTTATTTTGCATTACATACGCTTTAATTGACTAATTAATGCTTATGTTATACAATACAAAAACATTAATGAGTCAATTAATATACATCTTAATTATCAACATACTTTGATACTCTACATATTTTCTTTCAAGAAAAATATCTTACAAGACAAGCTTTTGTAGCAAGCTTTATGCAGAGCTTGCAGTAAGAAAATTTGACTGTATACATTGGAAATAATATGGATGAATGATTCAGTTGGAGGGATGGTATGAAATCCTCATGTTAACATATGTCTTTCTACGAAGTTAAAGTTCATTTGTGGATTTTTGTTCTCTATAACATATAGGATCTTCTTTTACTGCAGCCTGTGCAGCCTCTCTAACAATATGCTGTGATGGTGGTGACAATGGGAGTGCCCGGGTTTTTGTATGTTTCCTGCAGTGCTGAGGTATGTGGATTTGTGGGGGTGGCCATTCATTCCCAAAGCACCACAGCATTTAAAGAAACTGGTAAACAATGCAATATAATAGCTCAGGGTATGACTGCGTTTAGGAGAATAGTGGCTCTCTGCTGACTGTGTTCTGGGGATCAGATCTCACTGATTTGGGTAAACTGCATTTAGCTGAAGCTTTAAAACAATTCTAGAGTTTTCTTATTGGTTAAGACAGTTCAGTGCAGAGCTATGCATGCTTAAATCTTTATTTCCCTCTTGTTTAGCTCATTATAGTAGATCTTATTCCTCCCATTTGCCTTGTTTATGACTGTAGAGATATTTTGAGTGTTAAATCTTTGTTTACAGTATGTCTCTCAGGTTACTGGTTTGAAACAGCTGAAAAGCGCAGAAAGCTGTTGATGTCTGTTATAGTTCCATAATAATAAAGCACTGAATGGACTATAATAAAGTCAGTTTTAAGCAAACTGAAATATTATTATGCATCACATAACAAGTTCAAAAAAGAACCTAAACACCCCTGAAAAAAGCTCCTTTTCACTAAAGATGAAAGAATTAGTTTTGACACAAATCTACCCTCCGGATCTTGAAAATTTGTTAAAGGAGAACTGCAGCGCAAGATGCTAGAAAGATTTTTATAGAATAAAGAAAACATTCCAACACCCAAACTGGATAATTCCTGTTATGTACAACAGATGTGTCCAGTTGTGCTAAAACATACGATATCTAATAATTCATCATCTAATTATACTAAAAAAAAATTAAAGAAACTAATGAGACTTTTCCAAAGAACAAATTATACTTTTTTTATGTGATGAGCTAAAATGTTTA